CCCCCCCCCCACCGCAAAAAAGCACTGAACGACCACAGTTCACAGTGAAAGCAATGCGACACATGGGAAAAGCATAAACCACCGACTTGAAACACACCAGCCCTGAAGCACAGCATTTATGCAAGCAGTCAGTGGTCACGCGCTTGGCCCACCTGTCAACCAAGAGTTCAAATGCCCCAAAAAAATTGTGCTGGTCTCACCAAAAAGAGCCGAATTGGCGCTGAAGAAGGAGAATCCGCCGCTGCCGGTGTTGCCCACCGGAGATGCGTTGCGCTTGCTCTGTTCATCATCTGTGCCCCCCCAGTTGTCTCTAAGCTCTTCATCCAAGTATCCGTTATCATCATCTTGCTGATGCTGCTTGGAGACTGTTGGGCCGCTGCTGCTGTTGTTGGTGCCGTCTCCGCCAGGCGCACTGGCACCTCGAGACTCTTCCGCGGCCCGTTCACCCTGTTTCCTCGGTGCCTTCTGCAGCAATTCGGAGTTCAGGAGCAGCGTCAGGGGGCCCATAGCAGCACGCAGCTCTTTGAGCTGCTGCTGCAGCCGTTGGGCTTTACGGGACAGTCGGATGTTCACTACGGCCACTCCGTCGCCCTCTTCATTCATCTGTTTCCCCCCCGTCTTCTCCACGGCACTGTCTGGTGAAAGCGCTTCGGCCTGTTGCAGCAAGCTTGACGCATTCAGAGTTACTGTTGCGCTTGAGACGCCCCACACCCGAACAAGCCGCAGCTGAAGATCGCGCTGCAGCAGCTCCAGCACACGCTGTCCCTGCTGCTCGTACTGCTCTTGCTCCGAACCCTGACTGTTCTGCTGCTGTTGCTGTTGCATTGAGAAGTTAAGGAGGCTACGGTTCGTGGGACAGCGCAGCAAACCCCTGAGGCCTAATACCACGGAAAAGAGGTCAAGGGACTCGAGCGGCTCGACGTGCGCGTCAGCTCCCGTCTGCTGGTGCTGGCGTTCCCGATGCTGCTCGTCTTTCTCATCCTCCTGAAGCAGCGCCAACGAGGCAGCGCAACATTCACTAACGACCACATCATCGCTGTTGGTGTGTTGCTGCAGGGCAGTCAGCATGTCCTTCAGTTCAGGGGCCTGCAGCACCAGCTGCTTGTGCTGTTGCAGCAACAACCTCAGAGCCCCAGCAGCCTGGTGCTGCACGCCGCAGTCTGGGTGTTCAAGGAAGTAGCAGATGCCCAGTGCCATGCGCGGGATCTTCGCCCTAACTGCCGCCGAAGGGCGGGGCTCGGCGGCGAGGCGCTGCAGTTGATGAACAATCATCAAGGCATCCATCCTGCAAGATGCTGCACTGCGGTCAATTACTGTGCGGAAAAGAAGGAAGGCCGCTCAGCAGGTGCAGCGCTGCTGCAAACCTGCGACGGTGCAGTGTACAGACAGCCGGTCAAAGGCCACCGCAGGACACCTACACCTAGTGCCCGCTCAGAAGCCTCAGGTGGCGTTCGTGGAGACTCAATACCGCTGCAGGGGGGTTAAGATTCGGTGGCTCCGCGTGTCTCCGAAGGGCATAGGATAGCGAACACCAACAGCCCCCCCGGGTCCCCGTTGCTCCCTCCGCCCTCCGCCTCTGAAGGACCCTCGGGAAGGCAAACACTTGCATTAAAAGAATGAAAAAGGGAGGAGGGGAAAGAATATTGCCGTAAATACGTAGAGAGGCCAACCAAATGCTCAGGGCCCTTCGGTGCGCTGCAGCTCTGCATGCGCAGCTGCAACACAACGCACGGATGCTGTAGGCGGCACTCATGTAATTCACTCCGGGGTTATTCTTTACCCCTTTGAGTCATCCCTGAAGTCTGGTTGTAAATTAGTGCGATGAAAATTTAGGCAAAAAAATAGTTTTGCAGAGACAGCTGCAGTGAGAAGTGACGGGGGTGATATAGGAGGCCAGTGTAGCCAGGTGCCCGCGGTTCCCTAGGGGTGCGTCTGCTAGTTAGTGTTTAACAAGCATCCGTTGGATTATCACGCTTGAGTTACATATCATCTCTTAATTAAAGAGAAAGCCTTCTTTATGTACTGAGTAGCCGTGGGTTGCCCCGGGCCGATGCCCGGTCTGCAGTGGGAGTCCCCGACCAGTTGTATCGTCGTGAACTGCATTGGAGTTAATATGGATTCCCAGAAAACCGCTGGCTTCCTCTCCAGTCTCCACCCGTGCTAAGCACAGTGGCACAAGGGTCTCGGGATGCTTTGGAGGATGCCGCGCAGAGAGGGTTGCATCGCCGCGCGTCCACAGGTGTTGCGTGTCTCGCTACTTGCATGCTGGCTGGCTACTGAAGGCCGAGGAAGCATTCAACAATTTTCGAAAGTCTTAGTGCAGGCATCGAAGTCGGATTTGGGTATGCGTGCACCAAGGGTTTCCCTTGCACCGGAAAATCCACGGTGCGCTGCAGTCCATGAAACTCCGCATCTTCTTCGTTCCAGCACCAGGCCACTGTGCCAACGGTTTTAGGAAGCCTGAAGACTGGAGGGCAGGGTAGCTGCTTTGGAGGAGCTCTCCACCTTTGTTTTTTACCTCTATTGGAGCCTACGGCCTTCCTCAGCGAAGGAGGAGGGCTTTAGCTGCAATGGTTGCCTGCGGCTGCCACCGCAACATCCTGCGCATTCGCCAGCTCTCCCCTACTTTCCACATCTCCCGAAGAATCGGTTAGTGATGTTTTAGTGATACTAAAACGGTCTTACTGCGGAGATTAAATGACCTAGACACGGTTTTCCGTCCCTCGCATCGACTGGCAATTCGTTGAATGCAGCACCAGTGTGCGTATGCCATTTGAAGAGGAAGCCTAACATATGGGAGAGCGCGCCTATTCAATAATGCGCTACAAAACCCTGGCTTGTTATGATAAATGTGGCCTGCCTCGCAAGACCCTAAGCCTTGCACAGTTAAGGGCCACCACTTAGAGCCTAATCAGAATGACCACAGTTTTAAAAGGGGCTGTATCCTCAACAAGTTTTGTCTCGACTTCCGTTACATGCATCAACCCCTAGGGAGGTAGTTTCCTACATGAAGAGGGGATACTTTCGCCCTTTGTCGAATCACTGTTGCTCACATGACGGTTATAGCGCACGCAGAATGTGCTGCAAATGCTCCTGCATATTCCGACTGAACACACGCATGTCAATGCAAAAATCCATCCATCTCTCATTGATTAGTCCGACTAGGTTACCATTAATCTACTGGTGCAAGTCAGCAGGTGCACTCACGAGTGCAGCGGAAGCGCAGGTGTACTCTAGTTTGCGAGTGCCGGTATAGAATGCAGTCTTGTTCATGCAGTTTGGTTGTAGTCTGGGGCGCTACAAGAGCGTTCCAGCGAAGCAAAATGATGCATAAACTGGCATACTCTGCAATACACAAGTAGTTCGCTTAAGGTGCCAAAAATGCAGTGTAGTCAGGCATGCTCCCAGAGAATGCCCCTTGTTAGGAGGCTCCTGTCCTGGGGCTACGGGGGACCTCCCGGCCCCTACGGCGGGCAAGTACTGAATTGCGTCGTGTTCTTGGTCCTCCACGTGGGCCAAACGCTCATAATGACGTTTCTTTTAGACTCTCTGGTGCCAGCTGCTACTACTACTTCTAATACTTTCGTGACACAGAAGTCTCGAAATTTCGAATCGTTCGCCCGCAAGCAGGGAACCTGAGGTGAGTTTAGACTGCAGCAAAACAGGTTTGTTTTAGCCCACTGATGAATTTTATACTGCAGCAGCAGTCCAACCTAGTACGAAAGGAACGCTGTGTCAGGCGCCTGTCCAATGCTGTTAGCTGAAATGCTAGCGCCGTGAAACTAGCATCCGTCGGACTACGCCAAAGTGTCTCCGACTCAGAATTGATGCTGGATTAGCATCGCTCCTCATCGACTCTATGGCGCGTACGCTCGTGAGAGAGCCGACACTGCAGGCACCTCTCGAGACCACAACTAGATACTAGTGATGTGTATGCTGATCGAACTATAGTGGAGCGTTGAATCGGTTTATGCCTGTCTGGAAGTTACTTTCCGCTAATGGTGCCTCAATGACTCTTTCAGTTTTTAAGAGTTGAGGACGTTGTTTGGGCTCCACCTGGGATACGTAGATGCTCCAGCCTGATGCGCACAACTTGAGGCCAAAATGCTCCATGTGGCAAAGTAAGGTTGACGCGAAGGCCGCACAGGGTATTAGGTAGGGGTTATTACAATCATACTAATGCCATATCAAAGTTTCTGTATGACGGTGCGGAAGGGGTGCTGCCGCACAAGGCAGACCCCCCAGAATTCACCGTCAGTTGCGCTGTTGTCCTTATTCTGTTGTGTGGGGACTTACTAAAGTTTGAACCGCTACTTGCAGCAACCCCTACGCATTCGCTTCATTTTTACGAACACATGGGCAGGATAAAAATACAGGTCATGCCAGGCGCAAATTGCAAAGAAATACGGTCTAGTTACTTGTTGCATGTAAGGACGACTTCTGGATTATGGCTTGCCACTTGTTTCATCGTCACACTACCCTACGCCTAAAGCTGGTTGTGTATCAGGTTCAACTGCATAGTTCGGCCATATGGAGTCTTGCCATCCAGCACTTCTTTCCTGTCCATCAGTACACGAAGTGGTGCAAACTATGCTGAATTGCCGTTTGAGAGGGGCCATACCAATCAGCAAGAAGCGCCACCTATACAAAAAACCACAGAAGACAGAGCGTTACGGTAAATTCTACACTCCGTGTTTCCCATTGAACTCACAAAACAAATTTGTTAACACTTCTTTGGTGCCCTGCCTCACGAAACGCATGCATCTGGCTGCAGCCCCGTGTGTCAATGCATGCAAGTGGAAGCCAGCCCCGCAGTTACAAGAGAGCGATCAAGACCTGGACACATTAACCAAGTAGCTGCGAGCAAGAGTAGTGGTTTCCAGTGATTCTGAAACTCCCGCATAACGTTCGTAGATGCATTTAATTTGGGGCAATGGACGTCGTCGGTGAACGTCTCGGTGGTTCCGATAAGTGGGAACCCCTTGTTTCTGAACAGGATGATACAGTTCAAGAAACAGAAGAAGTGTCAGAAGCGGATGGAATAGAGCGAAAGTTGCCCGATACAAAGCCCAGTCATGTCTCGTTTTTTCTTGATGGAAACCAAGTTATCGATGGGCTTCGAACGACTTCGAATGCACCTCCTCTTGTTTCTCCCACTAAAAGGACGGAAAACGGCACTCCTTCGCACCGAACATTGAGACAAAATCAGCAGGGTGCCGGCGCATGCCAGAATCAACTGGCAATCTTGGACGACAAAGGCACCACTGAAGTATCTGCTGTTGTCCATGAGGAACAAACTGAGCATGCAAGCGAAGACACAGAGACATTGGTGGGCCTGCAGCAGTCTCGAAGCCTTCCAGACGCAATAGCTCTTCTATCAAAGACCACACAAGACCTAGAAGGAAGGGTTAATGCTCTCCTGGCTCAGCATGAAGAGGAGTTCTTCGCTTCATTCCGCTCCCACATGGCAAAGGTAAAAAAGCATGTGGAAGAGCTCCAAGCACGTGCTGACGAACAGAAAAACCTGCTGGAGAGAGATTTGAGAATTAAGACCCTTCAACAGGAGTTGCAGTGGTTTGTGAACGAAGCGGTCAGACTCGACCAGGTACTGCAGTCATTTGTTAGCTCGAAGCCGTGACGAGTGTTGCACTACTAGCCAGCGCCTGGTGTACCACCACGCTGGAATGTTGCTGCTATTGCCGTAGTGTCAAAACAATGGCATGACAGGAAACTCCACAAAGATTCAGTCTGGGTTATCCCTACGACCAGGTTTGCAAAAGACTTAAAGGGGACCTTCTCAGTTGGCGTGCACGAACCGACGCTCTACGAGAAGACCGCGATTTTCTGGAGGCAGAACTGAAAAAGGCAAAACGTAAACTAAGGAGCGGTCAATTGCAGGGCTCTGTCAAGCTCTGCACTCCTTCGCAGGTCAAATATAATGACCGTCGCCTTGTGCATTACTTTACCCAAATACGTTCTTCGAGGCTGTTGTTTTATGTAAAGAGTTGCGAACGGTAGCTCAGTGAGTTGGTTTGCCGGAAATTAAAACATCTGAGTCATAGCCCAAGCAACCATTCGTACATTTATTCCATTAGGAATGGATTGAGCCGCAAGGCCCCGCTGCCCCTGCGCCTAAAGCGACTGCTACACCAGCGATAGTGAAGAGCGCCCACGCGATCCACGGTAGCCCTCCATGCCAGCCCGGCATGAACGCATTGGCTCATACTCCGTCTGACGATCCAAAGGTGCTGAGGGAAACTATTGAAGAGTTGAAGAAACAGGTTTCGAGTCTGGCTGCCGCGAACCGTCGGCTTCAGAATGAAGCGAAAAGGAACTCACGAATCGAGTGGGTCAAGGATGAACGGGCAGACACTCAACGATGCCTCAAAAAATGTCCAACAGCTGCTTCACCCCATACTGGGATGCCAGTGCCTACATTTGTAAGTACTTGCAGATTTTGCTACTTGCGGGGGCGAGGTGACATTGGCAATAAGAGATTATGCGGTCTCTGCTTAATAGATCGAACCTAGTGGAGGCTTCTAAGGCACTGTCAAGGCGCCGCGACTTAGAATCCTTTTTCCTGGAATGCATTAATGAGGTCAGGAAGGAAAGAAAACTGAGGGGAGCTCCAAGCACTTCACTTGGTAAGAGTAATATTTACCGATCTGTCCTTCCACTGCAGAGACCACATTTCAGCCATTGTATCAGAAACAGTTACATAGCAAATAAAGTTGGGGAACGCTTCAGAATAAACAGGGAGAGGCGAGGCGTCTCTGTGGAACTGCTTCAGGAGGATTTGAGACGCTTTCTCTAGAAGAGTTCCTAGCATATGACCGGCGCATGGTGTTGACTGCCTTATTGTCAAATGACCACGTCCTTGTGAGCAACATGTTGAGATTTGCGCACGTAGAATTTATCCATCACGATTCTTGCATTAGGTAATCAAAGGAGTGACAAGTTGCCGGTTGTTGTTGATCTACTCAGCAAAAGTTGTACTCTCTCATATTCCCACATCCAGGGGTTATAGAATAAGGTACGCATGCTGCCATGCTGAAACCATCAACTCCTGTTCTTCTAGATTGGCGTAAGACACGAAGAGCTTAATCTTGGGCGGAGTGCCGTCCCCTTCACCTACGCCTCCACCACCCCGAATATACCAGCATGATTGATTGCAACGGAGAGGTGAATGGGATCTAGTGAGACATACCATGGTATCCGCCGCCTTCATTGGAACAGAAACTGTGTAGAGACAGAAGCTTGCAGGGTCTCTGGGAATCAACCGTCTTTTCCTTATACTTATTTAATCCATGACAAAGGCATTGGCCGAAGTACAGCGCTCACCATCACTGACTGCCACTCATAACTGACTGCTGCTCGCTTGCGCGTGGACAGATACACACATCAAATGAAAGTGGCTTGCCTTTTAATGAAACGCTTGTGTCCAGTGGCAAACTAATTTCTGCAGTAACTCGTTCCAATAACGAAAACCATTGCCGAGAAGGATACTCCCTAGGGTGTTTGTAGCTCTTGAATGTAGAGGTCTCGTCGACCGGTAATACGGCGCCTACACGACATATTCGTGAACGGTCAGAATGGGATAAGACCTAACGTTCCCTATGGTATGCGAAGTTCCTACAAAAAGATGCGCTACGGGCGCTGCACGACCTTGTAGGCCTGCCGCAGCGTTAGCCGAAGCTTGATGAGCAGGCGTTTCACGTCTGTACAGGGACACAGCTATGTTCAGTGTTGCGTACACTTGCAAGCCTGGAGGCAAGTCTGCGTGCCATAATTGTTGCCTCCTGCAAACTGAGACACTCCCAGAGCTCTGCCCTGGTGCACAGTGAGTAATTTTCGGGCACCGCAACATTGAAAAACTTTGCTTGCGCACCAAGAGGAGGGACGCTAAGAAGAATTGGGGTAATACATGGAAGGACAAGCACGAAAATAACTAATCATTCAGAATTGCTGCACTGTGAAAGCAGAAAGTCCCCCGGGGACCCGCTAATGGGGATTCGTCGGGCTTCAGGCGATGCTGTACTTCTCGCCTCAATAGTATTACCTGCAACTGGAATCGGTTCATTTCGGTTTATTACTGCTAAATGGAGATAAGCATAACTTCCAGAAATAACCAAGATACTCCCTCAAGAGTGCGCAGATGGAAAGGTCTTCTGCATCCAGCTCGCGGAAGTAGACCACGCGAAACAGCAAACCCCAAAACGAAAACTAACAAAGAAGTTGCCTTTACGTTTTTTTAAACATTGTACACCATCGGGCGGAGCGTTCTAGTGTTGGTAGAATCGCGAGCAGATGCACCTGCAATCCAGCCCCACGCAGATGGCTGGCGGATGCATGACGCAGTGCATGCATCCGGCAGCCAGCCCGGTTTGTCCACGTAGGACTACAGCCACAAAGTAACTCTCGCTTTATATAGCCACATGTTGTTGGCTTTTTTTAAAGCGACAGTCGAAGTAGTGTCTTGCTTCTTCGAAAGTGGTATTGCCCTTGGAATGGCCGCCCTTCAAACTCCGAAGGACCAGCTGAACTTCGAGCGGCTTTCCTTCCAACGGGACTTTACGAAGTGATCTCAAGGCGTTTTTTTTTGTTTTTTAATTGTCTGAATTTCATCTTCCCATAGCTATTCAGCGACCTGCGGTCTGTTCCCGCGCGGCCGCCTGCCAAGCTAATATCGCACTGCGCTTGCAACGATCACCTGGCCGGGAAATGCCTTACTCGTTTGTGGCAATTTGAAACATATAGTTGATTTAGGTTTAGTAAGCCGGCTTTGAGAGTCACTTCACAGTAGACTAGTAGCTGCCGTTGCTACCTCTTCGCATGAGCCTAGGCTTTCGCCAACCTGGACACGCGCCAGCTCTCGCTCTTGTTTAGCTAGCTATGCACGGAATTTCTACCTGCTTGTGCCCGCGTGGGGCACCCAATGAGCATGCAAATGGCCGCGAAGAGCACGAATCATCCGGCCATGCGAACAGCGCTTTAGGCCACCAGGGTGGCATGTACCAGGATAGCTCATCTGGTGCCTATGCTACAGACGCTCCCCTTTCATGCTGTGGAGGTGCTCATCTGAAGCCTCCGGTTTCTCGGAACGCGCGGGCTTGCGGCAGCGCACCATCGGCAGTAGTGCCGCAGTCTGACTTATGTGCGGTAGGGCGTGCCGCACATCATCCTGGCCATCCGGCAGATAGCCGTCTACCGGAGAGTGGAGTTCAAGCAACACCATGGAAATTCAAGAGGGAGGGGTTTATTCTTTCCTTTGTTGGTCCCCTCACTGATTCGTACGATGTAGAGCCGAGAAAGCTTGGCCAAGGTACATACGGCAGCGTCTGTCGAGCTGTCAACAAGTCAACGAAGACAGTGAGAGCTGTGAAGACGATCAGCAAGAGCAAGGTTCGAAATGTCAAACGATTCAAGCAAGAAATCTCAATCATGAAGTCCCTCGATCACCCCAATATCATGTTAGTCCCTCACATGTTTATAATCAGGCAATCATTAGTGCCTTTCAGGAAGTTACTCAGGCGCAGCCTTAAATAAAATTTGCATATTGTATAGACGAGGAGTTCGACGCTAGCTCAGCTTGACTTTCACCAACTGCTACACTGTCGCATTTGTCGCAACCGCGAAACTACGGACATGTTTCATGCGTTACTAATATGGTTTGGTAGATGGGCTTGCCATTTTTAAACTAAGTAATTGGTTGTTTCTAACACGAAACGCCGAGATGCAATGGGAATAGCGGTGCAAGAGATGGCATATAACCACTCTGTGTAGTTATCGTCTTTCTGCGCAAAACGAGCCCACAAATAAGAGCGATTGAAGGATTCGCAATGCAAAATGCCAAAACGCTCAAGCGACGCGCATCTACACAGAAATAAGTTTTTGAGTCTGGTTAATGTAAAATCGCATAACGGCGCTAACATAGCTAACTGTCCAAGTACTGCGCGTCGAGAGTGAATGCTGCTATGTTTGGTGTTGTCCTTGAAAGTCCGGGACCGAAAACTGTGCAGATTTTTTTGCGCCCAGAAAGCTTTTTGAAACTTTCGAAGATCACAAGAATGTCTATCTCGTGATGGAGCTCTGCAGAGGTGGAGAGCTGTTCGATCGCATCATAGAGCAAGGGTATTTTTCAGAGGCCTACGCATGCTCCCTCATGCGGTGTATTTTGGCAGCTCTGTTCTACTTGCACAGACATGGGATTGTACACCGGGATCTCAAGCCAGAAAACTTTATGTTTCTTGACAAGGGAAAGGATGCTCCCTTCAAAATTATTGGTACGAGCATCTTCATCTCCTTGGAAAACCCTTTAGAGTCTTTCCCTCTTGGCAGTGCAGAAAGGCAAAGCGACGTATTCCAAAGTGCTCAGAGCATGCCGAATGCACGTACAGTGTAACTTAGAGGCAATTCTGAAACATAAGACGAAATTGAGCCTCGTTCAGACTACTCCAATGGCTACCAGGTAAAGTGTCAGCTGAGTGGGACCGTTGTCAGTCGAGCGAGCGCTGTTTTGTGAAGCGCCTAATGGTGAATGTGGGGTTGCAAGCGAACGCACTGGCTTAATAAGGGCTTGCGGTATGTTATGATATCCGTGTCGGTCGCTAAGCAAGACTAATTTTATGTTTGTTGCGTGCTCCTTACAGACTTTGGCTTAGCAACTCGCTTCAGTAATAACTCATATATGTCCACGCGAGCGGGTACGCCGTTCTACGTAGCGCCTCAGGTGCTCCAGGGCAAATATACCTATAAGTGTGACATGTGGTCCGTCGGTGTCATTTTATACATTCTTCTTTGCGGCTACCCGCCATTTCACGGGGAGAACGACGCGGAAATTCTTGCCCGCGTTAAAGTAGGAAGGTATAAGTTTAACGAGCATGACTGGAAAGGGATCTCAAGTGAAGCAAAGGATCTTGTTCGGAAGCTTATGGCTTTCGATCCCCACCGTAAGCCCTAAACGGCAATCATTGCCTTCGTTCACAAACCATACGGAGCCATGCCTCTCTGCGTAGCCCTTCCGGTACACGTTGCTCACAATGGATTAATGAGTTGAGCCCACGGGGGAACGTACTTCCTGTTAGCAAAGAACTATTCACCACGGACAGCGCGCGTCCAGCGGAAGGAGAGGAACATTTTAGCGCAGTTCGTTGTACAAACTGGGCATGCCTAAAGGCCGTTGACTATTTATTTGCTGGGTTGCAGCGTTGCGCTGCAGAACGACTTTCAGCCGAGCAGGCTCTCAATCATCCATGGATTAAGCATTTTTCCTCAGCCCCTAATCCTGCAACAGATGCTCCATTTAGCCGTACAATGCTGGACCATTTCAGGGTAAGCAAACCATCCACCCTAGTGCTGGAAGGACGCTTCTTCGCAGTAGGCTAGAGCTGTTGCATCTCTGAGTCGCGAGCAAATATGACACGCTCGAGATGGACGTGCCAGAAACATGAATCGAACGTGGGCCCGTTCCGCTCCAGATATCGGTTGGCCTCTTTGCAGGCTTTTCAAGCTCTTTGCAAATTGAAGAAGGCAGCGCTGACAATTATCGCACAGCAAATGAATGAGACGCAAATCGAGCTCCTGACTCAAACATTTCTTGGTGCATCGGCGATCTCGAAAGTTGCTCTTGCTTGCTAAATATGCTAAAGTTCCCTAGGTCGCCTGCACTATCAACAAGATGCAGATGGAGTGGAGCTCACACCTTTTTGAAGAGTTCATGCCAACAGTTACTTCAGTATTTGCAAGATTTTGCCTTCAGCACTCGACGAGGATGGAGACGGGAGCATTACGCTTCAAGAGTTGCGAAGTAAACCCCGGCACATTCCGAGAGAATGGTTGCTGGATCTTCCTTCCACACTTCCTGGCCACAGAAATTCCACACACATGACTAGGAGAACCAGAATGACGTAGCCGCTAAATTGCTAGGACCTCCAAACCGCATGATCATGCTATACCGAAATTTGCATCCACCACAACATTGCTGGCACTCCCTGCAGTTGAGGTGTTTACTATTTTTGCTGATGCAGCTGGCCTTAAAAAGGCAGGCATGAAAGATATTCCTAGCGACCTTGAACAACTGATGAACGACGTAGACTCCGATGGCTCAGGCGTAATAGACTACACGGAATTTGTTGCGGCTACTCTTGATAAACGGCAGTACATACAGGCAAGTAGCTTGGTGGTTGTTCGGAAGACCTGCACCTTAGAAGAGTCGCTCTCAGCTTCGGAGCCGTATATTTTCCAGAAGGCAGGGTGCGGGTCTCTCCCTCTGAACTCTTCTTGTGCTTTAGGGCATCTGCTCTTCTGGCACGTTAGAGTTCTGTGAGGTACGTCTATTTTCACCGGGTATCTTTGTCCTCACGGTGCGGGCGAACTAAAGCTGGATTTCTTGCGATGCCACAGGAAGACGTGTGTTGGGCAGCGTTTCGAGTATTTGATTTGGATGGAAACGGCCGAATCTCCGCTCAGGACCTAGCTCATGTCCTATTGAACACAGATGTACAGTCCGTATTCCCGTCGCCAGCTTCGCCTGGCAACGGGAACTCTGCTCCTCATTCAGCAGCGCCAGCGGAAGATGACGCTAATCGGGAGGGCCAAAAAGCAGCAACCAGTCTAACTCCCCAAGAAAAGCATCATCAAATGCAGCAGATCAAAGGGATTATTCGTGAAGTGGACCGAAATGGAGACGGAGAGGTTCGTTGCTCTGGGTGTGGGCCACCTTCAGTCGATTGAAATCACTTTGGGGAGGCTCTTCATTCGGCCTAGGGTGTAACGTATATGCACCCGTAGGATTCCACTGGCTTTAGAAAGAAAACCTCTGAAGTGTCAGTCTGACAGGTCTAAAACAGGCTGCATCGTGCACCCACAACGCTGGGAGTAGCCTTTTGGAAATGAGGCTGGTGTGCTTTTGTTGCTGTGGAATATGATAGCTGAAACAAGCCCTTCGCTTGCATGCGCTGCAGATAGATTTCGACGAGTTCATGGACATGATGCGCCGAAGTACCATGTAAGCCAATAGACTATCCTTTCCACTTGTGTTGCTTGTACTTGAGAAAGAATGCACCTATACTTTGGGGTACTAAAACAGTTCCCTACAACACAATCCCGTTTTAGCCCAGTATTAGACTCCGGCAAATCCAGCGGCATACTTCTGCATCGCACTGCAACACTACACTAATTACAATCTAGTCACAATCAGACCACTTAAGCACTTTGCTGTGTGCCCGTATGCTTCCCCTATTGCGGTTTGCTTGTGTTACGCTGTAGCTGCAGTCCCGCTCGCATAAGCATCGCATAGACTGAAGCACCACTTTTTTCACTCTTCCTTCTAATGAATGCGCCCGAGGACCTCAGTTACATACAGCTGCAGATGCTCTGCTAGTAAGGGATAGCGCATTTTCCAGGTGATTCGACATACCGTCACAGGTAAGTAAGGCAGCCCGAGAGCTAGGTGCCCCGACGCGGAAACTCCGGCAAAACAAAGCATTGGGGGAACCTTCTTCTCAGGTGGAAGGGGGTGCAGCCTCAGTATGAAAGGGGTACTTTGGCCCAGAAAATCCAGTCCGCTGCTACTACTCGCGAAGGACTATCGCAATCGAGTTCGGCTCAATCGCAGCACGTTGAGTTAACAATGTGGTCAATACCTTAAGGCCCACTTTCGCTGGAGAACGGCACCTGCAACCGAACACAGCCTAGTTTGTGCCCAAAAACTGGGCGGTATTTGAACTCACTCACATTCCAAGCCTACGCAGTGTGTCGCAGGCGACCCCATGTACAATATGCAGCAGGCCAGTAAAACTTCCCCGTGCAAGATGCCACGAAGTCACTTGACTTTCGCTTGACTAGGGAGTTATCCGTTCAAATACAATAGAAACCCCCGATAGATCGTTCCGCTGAGCGTTGCCCGGCTTTCCAGTGGTGCAAAGCATCGCTGGCATTTGCACTGCCTCATACAACGCCTGTTGCTCAATTGAAAGGTAGTAATTGGCGGCAAGCCACTTACGCGATTCAAAAGCCAGCAATGTAGACGCACAATGAATAAAAAAGCTGGTCACACACCAGAATATGAACTTGTATGCCTTTTCCTCGTCTTTATCAAAAAGCGTTGGCACGGCTATACTTTGGTATCAAGAAGACATGCAATACAGTATATCTTGTGTATGGTGACTTACGCTTTTCAATCATTAGCTTGATTTTTCTCTGTCGTAACCGTGGCAAGTGCTTTACGCACGTAGAATCTCGATATTGACTGCGTAGCCTCTCTCCGTAGAGGTGTGTAGACTCACATTTTTTCTCGTCTTCTACGAGGGGGGGTTTCAACATAGTGGACTCATATGCTGTTAAATGGCGGTGCCCGTGCAACGAATGAAGCTGCTCGACCCCAACGGATATTTGGTTTGGCTGTAGTCAGGAATTACCTTAGCTAAAATCTGCCCCAAGTTGTCTTCCGAAATATGCCAGTTCCGGAACAAAGATTAGCTACATCAGCTGAGGAAGCTGTGTCACTCTCTTTTTCTCTATCTCGCATTGACGTTTCGACTATTTTCGCAAGTTTTCAGAACATCATTGAGAACGCCTTTGCTCAGCTGGCGAGAGTGTTCTCTTTGCATAAAGGAAGTCAAGATACTCGGAAAGGAGTCTCCACTGATTCGCCATTCATTCAGCATTCATTATCTGCAATGGGAAATTCAACGCAGTGCCAGGCGAATATTTCGCTGATTGAGATCAATGATTTTCACTTCGTCTGCTGAATAGTTCCTAGGATTATGCTTACGGCGGGCCAAATGACACAAGGAGCATTAAGGCTGTGAGCTAGCAGCCACAGAAAGCACAGGAGCAGCAGATGGAGAAGCACTAAGGGAGGCAGCAGAAGAAACTCCGCCCTGAACACCAGCAGGAAAATATGCATCAGCAGGACATATAGAAGCACGAGATACGGCAGGAAGGGACGATGGAGTAGCAGAAACACCCGGTGTTCCTGCATCAGCGAATGCAGCAAGAGACCCCTTCTCTTCCTAGATACGCCTCTCTGGACCACCAGATATACTAGGGCTTGTCCTGTTTTAGGGAGAGGGAGGGAGGCAGCCGCTGCACACTCGGAAGCTGGCGTCCAAATGTTTGCGTGTTTATAGGCTGGCTGTGAAGGCCAAGCACGCGTTTCATAGTTGTCTGCAGTGTTAGTGCATGCATGAAAAGGGGGAAAAAAGGGTTTATGCAAGCAAGGAAGCACGCGACATTGCACAAAGAGTTGCAGCCAGCTGCATTTCAACTCATACCTGGCTCGCTTTCCTCCTTACCCACCCCACACAGGCCCTTGTGGTAATATGTTTCAGGCGTGAAGAGCCTGAAGGTGATGCTCGAAGGATCCCTATGCGAGGCATTCAACTCTACTGCAGCCCGAGTGGCGTAATACAATTCCCTGATCTTCTTCGCGTTAGTTACCATAGAGCCAAGGATATGAATAAACTTTTCCTTAAAAATCTGCTTCCTAGATACAGTGATGAAAAAACTGAGGCCAGCTAGTAACGAGCTTCACTGCGCTTCACTGCAACTAATGCTGCAAGGAGTGCCTTTTTGCGAATGCAATGCCCCTGTAAATAGTTGTTAAACGCTTTCTTCGCCTTTAGTAGATGGATTGCACGCCAGTGGAGATACACCTACATATACAGACTTCACAGAATCGATACAAGAAGGAATCCCATAGAGTGTATCGGGCTCCTTGTTCAAGAGGAATCTCACATACAGCAATACCCGCACGCCCTTTCGATGCACGCGCTTGCAGTGTACATATATAGACTTGAGATTCCTTTAGCTATTAGTATCTAAACTACACTTGCTACGTAAAAGATGGAACAACATCTGAGACAACGTAGGTAAGGCAAACCTGTTGTGGGGGCCGGGTTGCATGTAAGCGTTTGCTTGTTGTTAACGAATGGACGGCTGCACCTGGAAACTTCCTTGGTTTGATTTTCTGCTTTTATTTAAAATAAAATTAATTTATTTCCTCAAATAAACGAAACAAACGAACTCATGCAAGACGACACCCTGTAGGCGGGCACAGCCATCAGTGAGAGGAGGCAGCAGTAGTTCAGCACGCGCTGTGACAGGGGCTGGGGTCTGATCTCTCTAGGGGACGTGGTGTATTATTTAGGGTAAAGAAAGGGTTTGTTGGTGGTTGTTTATTCTCTTTTTGCTTCTTTTAACAACAGGAGAGCCTCAGAACTTCTCCGTTTCTCAAGGGGCCCTCGCAACCCGTCAAGAGGTGGGGATTTGTAGTGTGATGGCGGCTGGTGCGGTGCTTGTATGAGTTATTTTTGTCTTTTAAAAGGCTTTATGCTTGTCTCCTGTTTAATTATTCTACTCTTATCCAGATATTGTCTCCAATTACTGTGGCCTCTCTGCCCCCCCACCTCGTGTGGTGGGCCTGGTATAGTATTCTCTTACTTGTATGAAAGCAAGGCAGTCTTTCCTGCTTACAAGCATATTTAGAGCTGCTGTTTAGTTGCAAAGGCTGTCTCATCTTTAGCTTATTATTGGGGTTCAGGGTTGAGGGGTTGGGGCTGGTAATAAGATCAGCAGAAGTGCCTTTGTGATGGGCGTTGCTGCTGTTGGTTGTTGCTGGTGTCGCTCTTCTGTTGCTGCATGCAAACTTTCATCTTGCTTCTTTTTCATTTCTTCTTCTGCATGTTAAGCTGTGGGGTTTGTGGGAGTATGGCTTGTAGCTGCGGTTGTTCATATGTATATGCGCGTATACATGCGCATGCATAGGTGTTTGCTTTTAATGCTACTGCTGCAGCAGCAGTTGCTGCTGTTGTGTGTGGCTGCTGCTTCAGGGTGTCTGTAGCCCTTTTTCCGTTTGTTTCTCCCCCTTTAATCAGCGGGGGAGTCCGCGTTGGCGGCTGCAGCTGTCTGTACAGTTGGACCCCAGCAAGCAATGACCGGTCAAGGAAGAGACGAAGTCCCTGAAAGGGCAGAGGAGCGCAGATCTCCTTCTAGAGAGCGCATGCGTGAGATGTCACAGGATGGAGAAGGGGGGGGCCCCAGGGGCCCCTCAGGGGAGCGCAGCCCCCCACCGCGAAGATCTCCTTCTGGAAGCCGCCGCAGCAGAAGCCCGCAAAGAACGGACAGGAGGAGCCGATCCTCGTGAGTTTCTTATAAATGCCTTTATTAGTTTCTTCTGTACATGCATGCATGCATGTACATGCATGCTTTTCTGCTTCCACCTGCCATTGCTATTGCTACTGCTGCTTTTTTGCTTTTGCTGCTGCTGCTGCTGCAGACGCGGCAGCAGGAGCAGAAGCCACAGCGGAGGCCGCGGGGGGCGTTACAACGGGAGAGCATACTATGGTGATGAAAGGGTGACGCACGTTATGGAGATTCAAGATGATGATGCTTCATTCATCTTGGGAGCTGGTGGGGCTGGCTGCCATCATTGCTGCTGCTGCTGCCGTGTGCTGCTGCTGCTGCTCACTTTTGCTGCTGGCCGCTGCAGCGTATAGTTGGATGTGGGGCCGCGTTCTACCGTTGGCGTCTCGGTGACCGTACACTGCGTTGCTGCGAAGGGCTCGCATGCACGGGCGTGGATACGGGTGTTTTGCATGCATGGGGCTGTTCATGGATGCATGCATGAGTGCACGGGTGCATGCACGCATTTGTGTGTGTTTGGGGCTGGGGCGTTGCAGGAGGCCGCACAAAAAGGAAGCTCAGCCACGTGTGTGGGGCTGAGTTGAATATAGAGGAACGCAACGGGAGGACTGTATTGGAGATGCGGGGAACAGAAGACACTATAAAAAGAGCGAAGCTGTACGTTGGCTTTGTTATGCAGCAACGCGTGGGGCCCGTGCAGCTTCCGCCAGATGCAGAAAGCCGAGATGACCTCACCATCATCGATGTAAGTGTCACCCAACTACATGCATGCATGCATACATTCAGGTGCATGCATGCGTGCACTCAAGTGCATGCATGCAAAGTTTAGGGATTGGGATGGCTTAGGAGCCCAAGGGCGAGCCGCAGGGTGTCCATGCATGCATTCATGCATGCATGCATGCGTGGATAGCGGGGTGTCTGTGTATGTTTGGGGTGTATGCGCAGGTGCCGCACGAGTGCGTGGGTTACGTGACTGGGCGTAAAGGTGCGGGATTGAGGAGCGTTGAAGAGGAGTGGAATACGTTGATGTTCTTCACAGATTTGCGCTCAGAGAAAGCAGGGCAAACAGAACGCCTCGCCATATTTGGTAGCCAGTGCGTCAATAGACACCAGCTCCTTGCATGCATGCGGTGTATCTCCACATGCGAATTATGACGGCCTCTCTTAAGGGCGTAGGTGCTGCATTGCAGCGGTGTGGTTTGCATGCATGCATGCATATAGGCATGCATGCATTGGGACTATGCGGTATGCATGCATACCTGGATGCCTGCATGAATGCATTGGGGCTGTGTGGTGCGCATGCATGTATGCATGTGTGGTATGCATGCATGCATGCGTGCATGCATGCATGCATTGGGGCTGTGCGACATGCATGCATTTGCTGCGCAGGCGCGCTCGGCGTGGGAGCGAGTTGAAGGTGATGTCAGCAGTGGAGCAGAAAATGCCGGGGTATTTCACCGATAATATTTCCGAGGGCTGCAGCTCAAATGAGGGATTTGATACGGATTATGTGGCGATAGCGGAGAAAGATTACTCTTATGCACTAGGTAAACGCTCCTATACTAACCACAAACCCTAAACCCTAAACCCGAAACTCTGCGCCGCTGCAACCTCAGATGCATCTCGAGAGAAGCAGCAGCAGCAGAAGCAGCAGCATGAACAGCAGAAGCAGCAACAGACATGCGGTGTTCATTTAGGAGGGGATTTGGCGCTGCGGGGCAGTTGCTATGTTGGGGGCTCTGAGTGGCTCTGTTATCTCTCTTCTATCATGCCCGTGACTGCTGCTGTTGCTGCTTCTGCTGTTGCTGCTGTTGCTGCTGCCTCTGTCTGATCTGAGCGCCGTCCGTACTTCCTGCAGCGAATTGGGTGTACCTCGGTGTGCATGCATGCATGCATGCACGTATATGATCTGTTTGTTGTTGTTTTTTGCATGCATGCATGCATGCAGGCCAGCGTGGTAGCACTCGTAAGAAGTTGGCGAGGGCTTCCGGTGCTATATTGGAGTATGTGGGTCGCATCGCCTTTGTTGCGGGGACTTTACCCGAACGCATGCGAGCGAAGCAATATCTGCAGTGGCTTTGCATGCAAAGAACTTCGTTTGTGCATGTTGACACCGCCGGACGGTGAGGCAGCAGCAGACGCACACTCAGAGACAGCAGCAGGAGACACTTGCACACACATACACAGAGAGAGGGAGGGGGGAGGGATAGTTGTTTAGTATATCTGTCTACATAACCACATTTATACATATACACATATATATGTATGTATATATATATACATATATATATCTGAATATGTATGTATATATGTATATATATCTGCATATATATATATATATATATATATATATTGCATTTGGTGGGGTTGTTGTTATTGGTGCGCAGAGATGACTGCGAGGTGGTGCATTTGCCGCTGGATGCGGTGGCGTACGTGACGGGTTCGAAGGGGAGTAATTTGCGAAGAGTAGAGGAGGAGACAGGGACCTTCATATTTCTTGATGGGGCTCGAGGAGGGGGGGAAGAGAGACTGCTTATTTTTTGCTATGACCCTGAAGCAAGACGCCGCGCTCGCATGCGCATTGAAGACAGGATCGATGAAAAACTCTCAGGGAGAGCGAGGTATGCATGCATGAAGATGATAAGTCTCTCTCTCTCTCTCCTCTTTGTTTGTCTCCTCCGTTTTAAACTGCGGATCTGCCTGTCTTCGCTGTTGTAGTGTTCATTGCGCATTTTTACGGTGTCTGTCTCTTCTCTGCTCTGTCGCCGCCGTTGTTGTGGTGTCTCTGTCTCCTTTCTTCTACTCTCCCTTTCTCTCTCCTTTTTTCTATGTTATACCTCCTCCTCTATTTCAATTCGTCTTCCTGCTGTTATTGCTGCTGCTGCTGTTATTGCTGCTGCTGCTGTTGCTGCTGCTGGTCTGTCTCTTTAGGCCCTTATATCATGGAGGCGGTGGGCGCTACCGGTCTCCTTCTCCTCGTCGTGGTGACTACGGTGGCTACGGCCGCTACGATGATCGCGGTGGTGGTGGTTATTATGGTGGTGGTGGTGGTGGTTATTATGGTGGTGGTGGTGGTTATTATGGTGGTGGTGGATATGGAGGCCCTCAAGGAGGAGGAGGCTATAGAAGTGGTAGAGGAGGAGGCAGCTACCGCAGCAGATCTCCAAGCAGAAATAGAGGAGGGGGCTATTACCGTTCTCGTAGCCGTTCTGCTGATTATTGGAGAGGAGGAGGAGGCGGGAGGAGTCGATCCCCCAGCCCTGTACGCCGTGATCGGTCGTATAATAGGTGCGTTCATCATGCATGCATGCATGCAACGGAGACATAAAAAGAACAACAAACTCACAGGCAACTCCCATGCATGCATATTTGCATGCATATCTTCATGCATGCATGCAGATATGCATGCAGCGGGCAACATCAGCAGCAACTGGTGGCTGGGGTGCTGCTGCTGTCTGGTGGCTGGTGGATACTGTTGAGGGGTAGAGGAGAAACAAAGAAAAGGCATGTGTTGTGTTCATCGCCACTGCGCTTCAGCAGTGCAGCGCATGCATGCGAGGTGTACGTACACCGCGGTGTGTCTCTATGGAGGCGGCCGCCTGCTGGATTCGCAGGGTTTACGGTGGGGTATTTGTTGTAATTCTTTGGTTTTTCTTCTTTTTTGTCTCTGCCCCCCACTCAGAGGAGATTTTCCTGGGGCTGATGCCGTCGACTTGCTGAGGTGTATGTACACTGCGAACAGGAATGAATGATGTGCTTATATGCTGTTAGCCCCCCAACGAGCGATGGTGCAGATAATAGAAAGCATATATATATATATATATGTACATATAGATGCTTATGTGCTGTATGAGTGTATATAAGAGTTGGGGCGGTGCTGCATGCTCTCGCTCTGATTGCATCTGCATGTACACCGGAATATATGGTTTTTTTCTTGTTTTGTTGTTGGGCCTAAGCCGCATTTCTGTGTTTGTTGCTTCGTGGCCAGGGGACAGTCGCCCTAAGGAACGCCCTCCATCATTATCTGCATGTCTACTCCTTGTTCTGGGGAAGGTTGAGGTTCTCATTGCAGCAGGCAGCCGCACCTCTCTAAGTGTCTGTACACCGCGCGAGACAATGCATACACCAAGCGGCGCCTGTGGCGTTTTGCTCTTCAAGATGAAGGGACAGAGACAGAGACAGAGACGGCGCTGTTCGTTGACCTCCGGGTGTACATGCATCGCGTGCTGTACGTGCAGTCCGTGCTGAGAATGCAGGCCGAGGTGTACGTACAGTCGGTGGTGTACGTACAGCTCCAAGTGTACGTACACCTCGTGTCGTACAGGCAATCCATAGAGAACGACGCCTCCTGTCCTCATTCTTGATGATGTACCTGCAGTTGGCGGTGTGCACATAGCGGTGCTGTCGCTGAAGTAGGTGCTGCGCGTACAGCTCCAGGTGTACATGCAGCTCCAGGCGTACATGCAGCTCCAGGTGTACATGCAGCTCCAGGTGTACATGCAGATCCAGGTGTACATGCAGATCCAGGTGTACATACAGCTCCAGGTGTACATGCAGCTCCAGGTGTACATGCAGCTCCAGGTGTACGTAAGGCTCCAGGTGTACATGCAGCTCCAGGTGTACGTGTAGATTGAGGGAGGTGGAGTGTAGGCGGCGGTCATTGTGGTGTTTATCTTTACGTGTCAAGACAGCCTACGGTGTCTCCTAATTGAAGTGAATTGAGAATAGCTGGCCTGTCTCCTTCCTTCTCCGTGCAAGAAGAAAGGAGTGCATTAAGGGGCAGCTTCTCTCTTCTCATGATCGACAACCAGCTGCTTCTGTCTCCTTTCATTGTCTCCTCTTGCAACGGCTGCACCGCGTATCCGGGCGTTTGTGCTGTCTCCTGACTGCGGCAGAGGAGACAGTTGAGGGACTCTGTCTCTTCTTCCAGAGGATTTGCTGCTGCTGCGCTGCTGCTGCGATGCTACTGTCTCCTCCTTGCTGCTCTTTGAGGGCATAGCAGCTGACGCGGTGTATAGGAGACAGCAGAGACAAAGAGGAAGCGGCGCATGCAGATGCACATACGGCGCATGCAGCAAGGCTTGTTTGCATTTGTTGTTGTAAATAGAAAGGAAGAGACAGTATACACCTGGTAGTGGGGGGGCGAGGTGCCTTCTCCATGGACCTGTAAAGGAGACAGATGACTGCGAAGGGATAGCTGTCTCTGTTGTCTCTCTAGTTCTAGCAGTAGCAAGCAGAAGAGCTCTCTCCCGTCACATAAGGCCTTCTGCTGCTGCTGCTGTTGTTGCTGTTGCTGTTGTTGCTGCTGCTGCTGGTGTTGTTACAGCTGCTTTTGAAGCGGGGCGTCAGGGTGGCGGAGGTGCTGCGCTTCTCTGCAGTTTGTCTCTCCTCTGTTTCTTCTTTGGTGTCTCCTTTTTAATATTATTGTCTCTTTTTCTTTTGCTGCTTTGCAGATCCATGCGGGGAGACTACGATGACAGACGGCGCTACGACGATGATCGCTACCACTGAGTGGCGGCTCCCTTGGGGTGTACGTACACCCCATCCTACCCCACACTGCTGCACAGCAGCAGCAGCAGCAGCAGCAACAGCATGAACAGCAGATGACGGTGAAGCAACGACCACCAGGAAGCTCTGAGGGCCCTAAAGGTAGCAAGCAGGAAGGAGAGGAGACACTTGAAGGAGACGGAGACAGGCTTGCACGTTATGAACAGTATTACATAATTACTTTGGAGGAGACAGAAGAAGGGACGTGTTGCTGCTTTGTGCTTTGTGTGCTTTGCTTTTTCTCTGCGTTGTAAACAAAGGCATTTAAACCAGTGAAGGAGTAAATGCATGCAACAGTTAAACAAACAAATCAGAGAAAACGAACTAACCATACATTATACGGGTACGCGGTGGTGAGACAAACGCATCAACACCGCCCCAGCAATAAGACCCCAAGAGAAAGACAGCAGCAGCAGCAGCAGCAGCAGCAGCAGTTGCTGCTTCTGCTGCAGTTGTGGCCATTGTTGCTGCCATTGTTGCTGGTGCTGCAGTTGCTGCTGCTGCTGCAGCTCGTTGGGGTGCGTGCAGCATTATTAATTAATAATTGTTATTGGAGTTAGTGGGGTGTGAGGTGTATAGACTCCCTCACAAACTTAATATAAACAGCACGATTAGGTGCTGGTTTGTTGCATGGGGCTGTCTGGCTGTTGTGAGTCCGTTCAAGTGCATGCACAGGGTAGCTTCTGCTGCTGCAGCAGCTACTGTAGTAGCAGCAGCAGCTGCTGCTGCAGCTGCTGCTGTTTAATAAGTAAAGTAAAAGACAGGAGCAGCTCAGTGCGGTTGCGAGTCTCTCTTTACCTGACTTCAGTTCCTTTTAAGTGGCTCTCAGATTTTCTGCATGCATGCGTTGTTTCTGCATGCATCTTTGCATGCATTGTTGCATGCATGCATAGCTGGCATGCATGCATTGTTGCGTGCATGCAACAATAACAGGGCGAGGCTGTTGCTGTTTGTTAGGTTGGTGCTGCTAGAGAACGAAGCAAGCTAAACCCTAAACCCTTAAACCAGAAGACGAACCCTCAAACCCTAAACCCTATGCTATAGAGAACAAACCCTAGGATCAGAGTCTATGCACTAAGACCTGAGCTGTAAACCCTAGACCCTAAGAGAGCCCTAAACCCTAAAACCCCAACCCTTATAATAACAAGCCCCACAGCTGCAGAAAAGAAGGGTTTCGTCGTCTTTTCGTGGGGCGTCTTGCAATTCAAATAGGGCAGCCACTGCTATGCTGCAGTTATCTGTCTGTACACCGCAGCCACCATAAAAAATACCTTAGTGGCTACCTCTTATGGAGACAGCAGGAGAGCGACGGCCCCCTGTCTTTCTTTTTATTATTTTTAATTATATTATATATCTTTTAATTATATTTTTCTCAGCTCTCGCACTGGCGGGATGTGTAGTGGCGGCGTTTTATATTATGCCTATTCATTTATTTCTAATTACTCTTATTAGGTGTATTTTTCATTACACGTGTACGTACATACACCCCATTGGGCTGTACGCTGAGGAGATAACTCTAGAGGGACAGCAGCTGCTGCACTTCTTCGCTGCTGTCTCCTCGATACCCTCCTCGAAGCTGCTGCGCTTCACTATATATATGCATGCAAGCATGCATACAGACAAAATGCATGCATACACACAGACAACTTGCATGCATGCATGTATGCATGCATGCATGCACACAGACAAGATGCATGCTTGCGTGCATGCACACCTACACAATGCGTGCATGCATGCATGTACACTGACAGCATGCATGCATGTACACTGACAGCATGCAAGCATGCGCGCCTGCATGCATCCACGTATACTGTTATACATATATATATATATATTATATGTTTAGTGAGAAAGGAAGCCTACAGCATGCTTCCAAGCAGCTTCAACAGTTTCGCTGAGTGTGGGGTGTGTGTGCGTGTATGTAGCGAGCTGGTGTACAGACACCCCAGCAGCCATTGCATTTGCACACTGCTGCATTAAGTCTCCTGCATGAGGACCGATGATGTGACAGCCCAACAACTGTCCGGTGTCTCTTCTCCAAAGTATTTTGCATAAACCCTCAGCCTCTCCCTCCGCTAATGCTTTTGAATTTGCTTTAAATGAAGATGTAGAGACACCCAAAGAGAAACCCTCACGCTCACTCAATGCACGAGCCTCAGGCTCCGTATACCCTGCATAAACAATACCACAAACCCTAAACCCTAAACCCTAAACCCTAAACAATACAAACCCTAAACCCTAAACAATACAAACCCTAAACCCTAAACCTGAAAGACCCCAAATACGAAGACTCACACAAACAAAACGCTAAACAAAATGACACGCTAAACCCTAAACCCTAAAACCTCAGGAGATTCGCACTGAACGAGCCTCTATACAGCGCCAAACGCAAATCCCCGCCTGCCTCTAAACCCTAAACCCTAAACCCTAAACCCTGAATTCTAAAAGACAACGTGGAGGTAAGGGTGGCAGCACGGGGAGACAGTAAGAAAAGAGACAAACGAAGATGAAGGGGACAGACAAAAAACAAAACAGAGACAGAGACACACAGAGAGACAGAAAGAGACAGAGACAAAGACTAAGAAAGAAACAAAAGAAGAGACATAAAAAGATAGAGACAGATGTGGGTGAGACAAAGACAGATATAAAAAGAGAGACAGATAAACACGCACAAAGAGACAGGCACAGAGAGAGAGAGAGAGACAGAAACAAAGAGAGACAGAAGGAGACAGAGACCGATTGCTATTACTATTATTATCTATTATTACTGTTATTATCATTGTTGCTGCTGCCGTTTATTGTTGTGTTTGTTTGTATACTCCCATTACAATATATAATTACAAATAAATACAATCAAAATATATCAATATAACTATGTAATTAATAATAATACATATATATATATATATATATAATAGATATATTGTACATTCATATATATATAATACATATATATATATATATATATATAGATCTCTTTCTTTTGTAATACTATGTTTCTTATATATATATATACACCCTACATACATTTCCTAAGTGTTACGCTGTATGTATGAGTATAATAAATATGATATTAATAATACTATTAAACGATATATAATATGAAAAGAATATCTTATATACAATCATGATATAGATATCAGTTGATGTGATTAATAATTATATTTGTTTGTACACTCACCAACAAATGCTATCTCAGGGTTAGTAAAGCATGCAGCAGGAATAAGCCGAGGGTTAAAGGGACGGTGTCTCCCTGCAATTGTCTCTACTGCTGTTGCTGCTTGAGCTGAAGCTGCATGCGCTAGCTGCAGCACACCGTTTGCATCTCCAATACAATAAAGCCCTTCTATAACTTCTCCTTCGCTTGCACCCCCCTCTCCTTTAGCAGCCCCAGCAGCAGCAGCCCCAGCAGCAGCAGCAGGAGCAGCAGAACCTTCAAATGCCTCTCTAGGAGACCTGCTGCTTGATGTATGTCGAAGCACCCGCATGCATTTATCAACAGGTATGAATCCACCTCTTTGTAGATTAACGCCTAGCGCCTCTAAACCCAAGCCCTGAATAAAAACAAACAAAATATATAAAGAAGAAAATAAAAAAATTATAATAAAACAAAATATAACTCACTCACTCCACGCAAACACAAGCAAATATAATGCTCAGCCCCTGCTGCTACTGCTGCTGATGCTAAACGTGATACTGCTACTGCTGCTAATCAAGGTACTGGTGCTGCTGCTTTTGTTTTTTCTTTGTTGCTGCTTTAGGCTTAGCTGCAGCAGCAGCAGCGTCAGCAGCAGCAGCTCCATCAGCAGCAACCGCAGCAGCAGCTCCGTAGCAGCGTCAGCAGCAGCAGCAGCGTCAGCAGCAGCAGCACGGAGATTACCTGTGTCGCAGGTTTGCGTCCAGTAGCAACAAGACATGCATCGGGTGTAAGTACTCCTTTATCTGCTGCTGTCTCTCTATCTTTGAGGTGTATTTCCAGCGGCGCTGGTGTTTGCTGCTGCATGCGCTTCACTGCAGCAGCAAGGGTGTTGGTGTGTAACTTGATAGGTCTCTCTGGGTCTCGCTGCAGGAGGAGACGCTTTGCTGCTTCTGCTATATCGGGATCGACTCCCGGGAGGAGACGATCCCCAGCCTCTATAAGCACAACCTCAGCTCCCATAGAAGAAAACACCTCAGCAAATTCTAAACCAATATACCCTGCACCTATAATTGCGACATAAGAAGGCATTGTAGGGAGCCCCACAGCGGTGTCGCTAGTCATTATCTGGTGCTGCTGCTCCTGCTGCTGCTGCTGCTGCTGTTGCTGTTGCTGTGGGTGTGGCTGTGGGGGCACATCGATCCCAGGGGGAACGAAGGGAACCGATCCCGGGGCCAAGATAATGTTGCGCGCATGCAGAGTCTGCGGTGTATCGGCAGGTGATGTTGGTGTGGGGTGCAGAGATAGAACACCTGGACCCTCTACAACTGCACGTGCATCGATCACTGGGATCTTGTGGGCTGCTAGCGATCCCAACAACCCCTTACGCACCTGCACATACACCCCACACCCCACACCCCACACTCTCGATGACCCCACAACACTAAACCCTATACCCTAAACCCTAAACAAGCAGCTGCAACATATGCAAACCACAAGAAACACAACCCCACATACACCTGGACGTACACCCCAAAACAATAACACTAAACACTAAACCCTAAACCCTAAACCCTAAACCCTAAACCCTGACCTTGGCTGCGACTCCGAGTGCATATTGTCCAGCAGCTTTGGGGTCTAATGTAACGGCGTTTGGTGCGAGGTGTATACCCATCTGCTGCAGCAGCTGCTGCTGCTGCAGCATGCGCGCTCTCCTCGCAGCAGCAAGTAAAGCTTTGCTAGGGATACACCCTCTATTTACACAAGTACCCCCGGGGTCTCCTCCACTGACAGCAGCAACACGAAGCCCCAAAGATTTTGCATGCAGACAGGCTGCATGCCCTCCTACTCCTAACCCCACAACTGCTATATCATAAGGATCGTCTTTGCTGCCTGCTGCTGTTGCTGCTGCTCCTCCTGCTGCTGCTGCTGCTTGGGTTAGGGATGCTCCAGGAGCTGCGCGCAGCAGCTGCTTCCTGGCGGTGTATGCAGCGGAGAGAGGCCCTGCTGCTGCTGCTGCAGCAGCAGCAGCAGGAGACACAGGAGCAACACCTATATGAGAAGAAGTAGAGAGGGTTTTGCTTGAGGGATGCACAAAGCCGAGAGAGAAGTGCAGCACGAGGTGTACATACACCGCAGCAGCGCAGCAAAAGGTCTTTAATAGAGCCCAGCGGTTCTTCATCTCTTCAAAACAAAAGACAAACAAAAACAAGAAAAGACAACAAACACCAGCTACAACACCCCTTAGCAGCAGCAGCAGCAGCTGCAGCAGGTGTCTGTGGTCTCTGCTGCGGTGTACAGACACCCCAACGTCTAGAGGAGAGACTGCAGCAGCAGACAGCAGCAAAATGCATGCGGCAGGAGAAGGGCTCTGTCTCTTTTTCTGTCTCTCTTTCTGTCTCCGTTGTGGAGTAGAGACAGATAGAGACAGATCTTTGTTTGTCTCTCTGCTGCTGCAGATACACCCCAAATTTAATTATAATTTCTGTCGCTGTGCAAACCAATGCCGGTGTAGCTGTCTACAACAGGGTTGCTGCTGCTGTCGTCACCGCTGTTGCTGCTGCTGCTGCTGCTGCTGCTGCTGCTGTTGTGTCTGGAGGTATTGCTGCAGCAGAAACAGCAAAAATATAGTTAAAAGGAGATGTCTCTTTTGTCTTTACTCGCAACTCAATTATACACATCAAACAAAAGACAAAAAACAACAGAACAACCACAAGACCCACGAGGCGGGGCTGTCTCGCCGAGCCTCTGCTGCTGCTGCTGTTGCTGCTGCTGCTGCTGCTGCTGGTGCATGCAGCCCCGTCCAGCGCCGCCGCCTTTCTCTCGCTGTTTGGGTTTTTTAGTTGTTGTCTGTAATTTCTTTTATTTTTTCATTATAAACAGCAGCACTTCTGCACCAGCAAACTCTACGTCAAAAACAAACAAAGAAACAAACAAACAAACAAACAAACAAACAAACAAACAAACGAACAAAGGGGCCCCGAGGCCTTCTCTGCTCTCCTCTGCAGGTTATTATAATCTTTTTTAAATATTAAAAGTAAAATACAAACTCAACGCTGTTATTTAATACAGATAGCTGCTGGAGGACCTGCAGCAGCAGCAGCAGCAGCCGCAGCAGTAGCAGCAACAGCAGCAGCAGCGCTAGCAGCGGCAGCAGGAGAACCGTATGCGGAAGCCGCTGCTGCAACAGGGACTGCAGCAGCTTGAGGGCATCCAGCTACGCAGGTAGAAGCAGAGGGAGCGGCAAGAGCAGCAGCCGCAGCAGCAGCAGCAGCAGCAGCAGCAAACGCAGCAGCAGCAGCAGCAAACGCAGCAGCAGCAGCAGCAAAGGCAACAACGGGACGAAGATTTGCAGTACAACAGAGGACCGAAGGAGGAACGAGATCAAGAAAACAGGAGCAAGGGCAACAGCAGCAGCAGTAACAGCAGCAACAGCAGCAGCAGCAGAAGCAGCAGAAGCAGCAGCAGCAGCAGCAGCAGGGGAGGCCTGCTACTGCTGCTGCTGCTTGTGCTGCAGCGAGGCTGTTTGATATATTGTGTTGTTTGTATGTTGTTTTGATGCAGTCTTAATAAATCCTATATTTGTTTATTTTGTTTATTTTGTTTATTTTGTTTATTTATTTGTTTATTTGTTTATTTTGTTTATTTTGTTTGTCTCTTCCTTTCTCTCTCTCTATCATTTTTCGTCTCTCTTACACTCATTTTTCTGTTAATTTTATTTGTTTTTTTCTTCTTTTTGTCTGTAAATCTTTATTTGATGTATTGTATTTATTTATATTTCCGCCTCTATCTCTCTCTGTCTCTCTGTATAATTATATATTTTATTAGTTTATTATTATTATTTTAAAACCTTGTTTGCTTACGCTTAAGAGACAATGCCGAAGCATAAACATCATAAAGACCGTCTCTATTTACTTCAAAGCGAATATACAGCAGAGTGGGGGGGGTTTAAAAAGAAAAATCTTCATTTACCCTTTAAGTCGCTTCCTTTCTACTGCTGGTAATGAAGATTAAATTTAATACGCTGTCTCTCTCCTTCTGTCTCCTCTCCTGTCTCTTTTGCTGTCTCATGCTGTCTCTTTTGCTGTCTCTTTTGCTGTCTCTCTCCTTCTGTATCCTTTGCTGTCTCTCTCCTTCTGTCTCCTTTGCTGTCTCTCCCCTTCTGTCTCCTTTGCTGTCTCTCCCCTTCTGTCTCTTTTGCTGTCTCTCTCTGCGTCTCTCTTACTGTTTTTCTTTCTTTATCCCTCTCTCTCTTTGTGTCTGTCTGTCTGTCTGTCTGTCTCTCTCTCTCTCTGTCTCTCTTGCTGCATCTCTGTCCCTGTCTCTCTGTCTCTCTGTCTCTCTGTGTCTCTGTCTCTCTCTTGCTGTCTCTCTCTCTCTGTCTCTCTGTCTCTCCGTCTCTGTCTCTCTTTCTGTGTCTCCTTCTGTCCTTTTGCTGTCTCGTTTACTGTTTGTCTTTATCTTTGTGTTGGTTGCTTTGTATGTTAAAATAAAATAAATAAATAAACAAATAAATAAATAAAATAAATAAATAATTTTATTTATTTATTTAATTTACGTTTGCTCGTTTTGTTTTGTTTTCTTTGTGTATTTATGATTGAATTTGTTGTGATTGTTTCGTGTACATCCCTTTTATCTAATTTAATTTAATTAATTAATTAATTAATTTGTTTAATTAATTATTTTTTATTTATTTGTTTGTTTATAGCGCTTTATCTCTGCGAGCGTTTAAAGACTCTGTCTGCACTTGTAATGAAAATTGTCTTTGAAGCGTTTGTCGGCTTTATTATATTTATTTTGCTCGTTTTTCTTTGCTTTATTTAACTAAACAAATTAATTAATTAATTAATTAATTAATTAATTAATTTGTTTGTTTGTTTGTTTGTTTGTAGCGCTTTATCTCTGCGACCGTTTAAAGATCCTGTCTGCACTTCAAATGGGATTGTCTTTGAAGCTTCATGCATCCTTCCTTATATAAAACAATATGCTAGATGCCCTGTAACAGGTGCATCCTTACGAGCTAGCGAACTGTCTCCTTTATATTTTCATAAGAATAATGAAGGCAAGTATCATTGTCCTGTTACGTTTAAAGAATTCGGAGACAATTCTTTTATTGTTGCTAATAGAAAGAGCGGACATGTCTATGCAAAAGATGCTATCGATAATCTGTGCAGACACCCCAAGCAGTGGAATGATCTTATTACAGGTGAATTAACTGTCTCTTTTAATTAATTAATTAATTAATTAGATTAATTATTTAATTAATTAGATTGATAAATTAATTAATTAATTAATTAATTAGATTGATTGGTTTATTTATTTATTTGATTATTTATTATTTGTTTATTTGTCTGTTGTTTATTCGTTTATTTTATTTCCCAGAGCAGTGTTATGATCTTATTACGAGTGAATGAACAATGTTTTTTAATTAATTAATTAATTAATTTAATTCATTAATTTATATTATTACGTATTATTTGATTATTTGTTTATTTGCTTTTTGTTTATTTATATTTCCCTTCATTCTAGCTCAGTCTATTAAAAAACAAACAAAACATTTTAAATTGTAATGTAATTGATTGCATGCGTATTAATATATTATCTTTATCTCCCTAACCGAATATATTAAATAAAGAGATACAAAACAGTTTAATTTAACTTAATTTAATTTATCTTTATCTCTTTAATTTAATTATTTGCATGCAGGGGAGCCCTTTACAAGCGCTGATTTGGTGGATATTCAGAATCCGTCAGATGCAAAGCGAAGAGCAATCGAACATTTCTACTACGTACGAGAAGGTAAAGATAAATAAATAAATAAATAAATAAATAAATAAATAAATAAATAAATAAATTAATTAATTAATTAATTAATTAATTAATTAAATAGATAAATAAATAAATTAGTTAAATAGAATGAAATAGAATGTGCTTGTTTACTTCGAGTTCTTTAGTTATTTATGTGCTTCCTACTTAACTACTTAGTTAATTAACTAATAAATCTTTGCTTCTCCTTAATTAATTAATTAATTAGTTAATTAATTAATTAATATAAATTATAATTAACTAATTAATATAAATAGTAATGAATGAATAAATGCAGGAACGAAGTGAAGAGCAAACAAAATAAGATAGGATTAATATAAACAAGATAAAGAAAGACAAAAAAAGAGCGTTTGATTTATTTTATTGTATTGTCTATTTTATTATTTTATTAGGTCAAGATATAACAAACTTTGTCGGAGGAATTGCTGCAGAGCCAGGAAGCCTAACGCCTCAAATAAAGAAATGTGAAACCATGCAAAGAATATTAGGAGAAGCGAAGCAAAGACAAGCAGAAGTTGAAGCAGCACATAATAAACTTGTACCTAATCTGCATGCACCACCAGCAGCAGCAACAACAGCAGCAGCAGAAACTGCAGCAGCAGAAGATGGAGCAGCAGCAGCAGATGGAGCAGCAGCAGCAGCAGCAGATGCAGAAGCAGGAGCAGCAGAAGCAGGAACGACAGGAACGGCATCCGAGAGCCCCACAGATAAGCAACAGCAGCAGCAACAGCAGCAGCAGCAGCAGGAGAAGCAGCAGCAGCAGCAGCAGCAGCAGGGAGCAGGAGAAGTAGAGAGACATCATTTGTACACAGACCACCGTATGGCTGCAGGTTTTACATCAACAAGAGTGGAAGGAAGAACAACTCAGGTGTATAGGGAGCTATCAGAAAGAGAGCAGATGCTTCCAGTGTATGCACGGTGCAAACAGCAAAAGATAAAGAGCTATGTTCGCATGCAAACATCACTTGGATCTGTAAACCTTGAGCTGTATAGCCACCTAACGCCTAGAACAACAGACAGCTTTCTTCGTCATTGTCTGAGTGGTTATTATGAAGGAACAATCTTTCATCGTCTAATAAAGAACTTCATGCTTCAAGGGGGTCGTGCAGAGCTCCGCATTAACCCTCCCCCACACCACCCACACCACCAACAGCAGCAGCAGCAGCAGCAGCAGCAGCAGCAGCAGCGGAAGCAGCAGCAGCCTCTTGTGAGTCGTAGTGGGTTCCCTAATGGTGCTCCGTTTGAAGATGAGATCATGGGGCAGCTCAGTCATCAAGGAATCGGCGTCATAGGGATGGCTAACGAAGGGAGACGAAATAGAAATTTGTCAGAGTTTTATATTACTTTTAAGTCCTGTACACACCTCGACGGTAAACATACTATCTTCGGAAGAGGTAATTGCATGCACAGTGCTGTCTCCTTCTTCCTGTCTCCTTTTTGCTGTCTCTTTATTTGTGTCCCTTTGTTTGTGTCTCCTCCTTCCTGTCTCCTTCTTGCTGTCTCCTTCTTGCTGTCTCCTTCTTGCTGTCTCCTTCTTGCTGTCTCCTCCTTCCTGTCTCCTTCTTCCTGTCTCCTTCTTCCTGTCTCCTCCTTGCTGTCTCCTGTTTGCTGTCTCTTTATTTGTGTCTCTTTGTTTGTGTCTCCTTCTTCCTGTCTACTTCTTGCTGTCTCCTTCGTGCTGTCTCTTTATTTCTGTCTCCTTCTTCTTGCTGTCTCCTTCTTTCTGTCTTAATCTCTCTGTCTCCTTATATCTGTCTCCTTCTTTATGTCTCTTTATGTCTGTCTTCTTTTTGCTGCCTCCTTGCTGTCTCTTTCTTTCTGTCTCCTCCTTTCTGTCTCTCTGTCTCTATTTTCCTTCATGTCTCCTTCTTATATCTGAATATATATATATGTACTGTATCTATATGCATACATATATATATATATATATATGCATATATATATATATATGTATTAATGCATATCTGTCTCTTAATATCCAACTGTCATATATATATAATTATATATATAATTATATATATAATATATATATATATAGATGTATGTCTGTCTCTAAATATCTAAATGCCTGATATATATATATATATATATATAGATAGATAGATAAATGCATATCTGTCTCTTAATATGCAAGTGTCTCCTTTATTATGTGTGTGTGTTGTTGACAAAGTTGTCGGGGGCTTGGAGGTTCTTAGAGCTTGGGAGGCTCTGCCTGTAGACAGCAAAGACAGACCTCAGCGTCCGCTAGTAATTGAGAAGATGCATATTTATAAAAATGCTTTTGATGTCGCTAAGATGGATATGCAAAAAGAAAAAGAAAAAGAATTAAATAAAGAAGCAGAAGAAGCCAAGGTCAGCCGCTATATATATTATATATATATATATGCATGCGTGCATCTATACTTCCATGCATGCATCTTTATATGCATGCATGCATGCATGCATGCATTTATATGTGCATGCATGCCTACACGTATGCGTTTATATGTCTGCATGCATGCATGCATGCATTTGTATGCCTGTGCATGCATGTATGCATTGATATGTCTGTGCATGCATGCATGCATTGATATGTCTGTGCATGCATGCATGCATCTATATTTGCATGGATGCATGCGAATATGCGTGTTTGTGTGTAGTTGTTTGTTCGCCTATTTATTTATCTACTAGTATATATTATATATATCTTTATATTATTTTATTTATTTATCTATTAGTTTTATTTATTTCTTTATTTGTTTGTTTGTTTAGGAGGCAGCTCGCCCGTGGTTTAACAACAGAGACGCCTTAGACCAAACAGCTTCTCACCCGGAGAGACACTCAAACAAAGTAGGAAAATATCTGTCTCCAACTTCAGCAGCAGCAGCAGCAGCAGCAGCAGCACCTGCTGCTGCTGCTGCTGCTGCTGAGAAGCATCTGCTGCCAGCAATATTAATGGGCGAAGATATTGCACAGTATGCAACAGCACCGAGAAAAGCAAAGAAAGTTAGAAGGGGCCTCGATATGTCTTCCTGGAGTTGATTAAGAGACAGAGACAAAAGAAAGCAATGAATAAAATAAATATATTAATATTAATAACACAGAGAGACATACACATACTCTCTCTGTCTCTCTGTCTCTCTATCTGTCTCTCTGTCTCTCTATCTGTCTCTCTATCTCTCTATCTGTCTCTCTCTCTCTGTCTTCATCTGTTTTTTTCTGTCTCTTTTGCGGTGTATGGAGAGATAAAGAGAGGGAGATGTAACAAAGAAAGAGACAGAGACAGAGACAGAGGCAGAGGCAGATATATAAACAAAGACAGAGATGAAGACAGCTACAAAGAGAGAAGGAGAAGCAGAGCTGCATGCATTTGCTGTCTCTAACCTCTCTTATTGGGCTTCACTGTCTCTTCTTGTTTGTCTTTGTCTCTTTTTTTTTATACTTCACCCTGCCTCCTCTCTTAACTTAAACAAATGTTTTTTGTCTCCTTACCTTCCAGCTATCTCCTTCAAACAAATGCAGCTACCCCCTAAACCCTAAACCCTAAACCCTAATTCTTCTGTCTCCTGCTGTAGTAGTTATTGTCTGATCTCGGTTGCCGTTCATAGAAACAAATATTGATAGATAAAGACGAGACAAAATAAATAGTTAAAATAAATAAATAAATAAATATATTTAAATTAACGAGTTCGCAGAGCCGTTAGAGAGTATTGGAGACAGTTTAAACGGAGACAAACAAAGACAAAAAAAAACAAAGCCATAAAGAGACACCAGCAGATAAGAGAGACAAAAAAGAAATATATTTTTACCCAGACAACAGAACGATGTTAAGCTGAAGAAGGCTAACTAGCTATAGCTAGCTACAGCTAGCTACAGCTAGCTATAGCTAGCTCCAGCTAGCTATAGCTAGCTACAGCTAGCAATAGCAAAGACAAACTACCTACAGCTAGCTAGAGCTAGCCACAAGTAGCTGCAGCTAGCTACAGCTAGCTACAGATATCTATAGGTAGCTACAACTCTGCTAAGAAGAGGGGACTATAACACAACGTCGATTGACTATTGCTGCGCTGCTGCTGCGCTGTTACAGAGTTGCTGCTGATCTGCTGCTGAGTTGCTGCTGAGCTGCTGCTGCACTGCTGATGAGTTGCTGCTGCGGAGTTGAAGCGAAGATGTACAGCCACCAGTCTGAGCTTTTCTTCTGCAGTGCAAATAGATAATGTGCAGGTGTATATACACCTCAAGTTATATATTTCTATCTATAGGCGGCCTCTGTGTAGCTTCTGCTCTACGAAGAGGCTTATTCATTGAATTAATAATTGATTTATATAGAATTAATTAAACAAGAGATTAATATATCTTCAGTCGCGAGGTGTCTGTACACCTGAGCTGCTACTGCAATGACAGTCATAGTTTGCTTGGGGTTTTTTTATGTATTTCTTCTTCGAGAAGAAAATAAAGAAAAATTAGTTGGTTTAAATAATAATATTAATTTAATTTTAAATTCTTTTTTATTCTTTTATTCTATTTCTTAGCACAATCCTCGTTACCTCTCGATTGTAAGCTGTCGATACACTGCGGCTGGTATGCATAGCGCTGCAAAGAGAAGTTGGGGTGTATATGCACCTTTTTCTCCTTTTCTTTTGTTTTTCTCCTAAATATCCCTTTATTAATCTCAGTTACTCCATTAAAAACACAGAAATTCGATGCATACACTCGTACAAACCTCTCACCAACAGCTTCTCGCCTACATGAGGCAAGGAGCGGCTAGAGGGTATTATTAAGGCGTTAATAACTGCTATTTTTCTTTTTTTAAATGTTTTAGTGAAATTATTAACATCAAAGAGACTCAATAAAACCCAAAAAACAAAAAAATAAACAAATACACCCCGAGCTGTCTCTGCTGCTGCTGCTGCTGCTGCTGCAGCAGCTGCTGCAGCAGCAACTCATTCTTCTACTCAAATAACCTCCGGGTTTTCTTCTTCTTCACCGTCTGCTTCTTATGAAGTTATATATAATGCCCAGTAAACCCTAAACCCTAAACCCTAAACCCTAAACCCTAGGCAGCAAGGAGGCTCACGTCTGTGTTCTGCTGTCTCTATATGGCTTCCTCTGAAACACAGCAGCAGCAACAGCTTCCCCTTTGCTGCTGCTGCTGCTGCTGTTGCTGCTGCTCGGGGGTTAATAAGCAGCAGCTTTCATACACCCCAGGCAGCACGGCATACAAATGCACACATTGGGGGGACAGTCGCCGCAGCAACAGCAGCAGCAGCTGCAACAGTTGCAGCAGCAGCAAATGCTGCTGCTGCTGTAACAGCAGCACCAGCAGCATTTGCAGCAGCAGCAGCAGCAGCGGCTGCGGCTGTTGCTACTCCGCTGCCCCTTCCACAGAACTACACCCGTCTCGCAGCAGCAGTAGCAGCTGCTGCAGCAAGAGCTGCAGATGCAGATGCAGCAGCAGAAGCAACAGCAACAGCAGCAAAAGCTGCAGCAGCATGAATGCAATAGCTGCTGGTGCACCCGTACCCGCTACAGCATCAGCAGCAGCAGCAGCAGCAGCACAAGTATGTGAGCGTGGGTATTGCAGTTCAAGCCGCTTGCTGCAGCTTCCTAAGACGCTGCTGCTGCTGGTGTTTAAATATTTTTTTGTTGATGAGGTCCCCTTAATTGCTGCTGCTTCTCCTCTGCTCTGGCGCATGCTGCAGCAGGGAGATTTGCTGCTGCAGGGCAGCAGCGCTCGCCTTCACTCGGGGAGAAGATGGGTCGAAGACGACTTCAGCAGCAGCAGCAGCAGCAGCAGCAGCAGCAGCAGCAGCAGCAGCACTAGGTGCAGCAACAGCAGCAGCAACACCAGCTGCAGCAACAGTAACTGCAGCAGCAGCAGCAGCAGCAACGACAACTGCAACACCACCACCACCAACACCAACAACAACAACAGCAGCAGCAGCAGCAACAGCAGCAACAGCAGCAGCAACAGCAGCAACAGCAGCAGCAGAAGCAGCAGCAGCAGGCTGTCTGTGGTGCCGCGGTTGCTGCTGATATATCCAGGGCGTCTGTCTTCGCTGTCTGTTAGCAGCAAAGTTTTAGGGGTATTTCCTCCGCTGCAGTTGCTGCTGCTGCTGCGGCAGCAGAGCAGCAGCTTGAAGAAGCTTCGCATTACTTCTCAAGACTTCTGCTCTCAGGGCTTCATCTGTAACGTGCAAGGGACACAGCAGCAGCAGCAGCAGCAGCAGCAGCAGCAGGAAGAGGAAGAAGAGAGGCTGCGTGCTGCTGCTGCTATCCTTGCTGGGGCTTGCTTCAGCAAATTAGAAGCGTTAATACTGCGGGGCTGTCAGTCCTTTATTTGGCTGCGTCTTTTACGTTTATGTTTATTTCCTAGCTGCATAAATTTTAAGTTTGCTGCTGCATGCATACAGCAGCACACACTTGCACCCTCTTGGGGGCCCCTCCCTTGGGCTTCAGACCTCTTCTCTTTAATCAGCAGCATGCAGCAGCTGCAGCATATTCACATTGATGCTGCTATTGCACCTACACGCTGCTTCTGGATTGCCTTTCTTACTTATAAACACCAGCAGCAAATGCAGCTGCAGCAGCAAATCAAGCAGCACCAAATAACGCAGCAAATCCAGCAGCAGCAGCACCAAGTGCAGCAACAAATGCAGCAAACTCTGCATGTCTGTGGAAGTGTCTTCTTAAACCTCTTAGGGGCCCTAAGGCAGTTTCAATTAGAGGGGCCCCCCATCATGCGGATCGGGGGCCCCCAAGGGGGCCCCCCTGAGGGCCCCTGGACTCATATTGGGGGCCCCCCTGGGGGCCCCCCTGGGGGACCCAGGGGCATTCCTGGGGGCCTCCCTGGGGGCCCCTGGAGTTCTATTGGGGGCCCTTCTGGGGGCCCCTGGAGTCCTATAGGGGGCCCCTTTGGGGGCCCTTCTGGGGGCCCTTCTGGGGGCCCATCTGGGGGCCCTTCTGGGGGCCCCTGGGGTTCTATAGGGGGGCCCTTTGGGGGCCCCTCTGGGGGCCCCTGGGGTACTGTAGGGGGGGCCTTTGGGGGCCCCTCTGGGGGCCCCCTTGGGGCTAATTGGGGAATAGAGAAGATATATTTGATTGGGGGGCAGCAGGCGCTGAATGTTTTGGCTCTGCGCCGTTCTTTAGAGTGGTTGGAGTGTCTAGGCAGCTCGAAGAGGGATTGCGGTGTATATTGTGATTATTTAGAAGTAGATATAGCTGCAGATAAGAAGTTTAGCAGCGTGCAGATGCAGATGCTGCAGTATGCAAAAGACCTTACTCTTGTACTATGCAGCAGCAGCAGCAGCAGCAGCAGCAGCAGCAGCAACAGCAACAACAGCAGCAGCAGCAGCGGAAGCGGAAGCGGAAGCAGGAGAGGAGGCGGAGAGGCTGCAGAGGAGCTGCAGCAGCTGTGCAACTCGCCGCAGCAGCAACCAGAACCAGAACCGGCAGCAGCAGCAGCAGCAGCAGCAGTAGCAGCGGTGGCAGCAGCACCACAAACAGACCAGCGCTCGCCGACGCGGCTGCTGCTGCGCTCCAGGCGTCAGCAGCAGCAGCAGCAGCGACAGCAGCAGCAGCGACATCAGCAGCAGCAGCGACAGCGACAGCAGCAGCAGCAGAACCAGCTGCAGAAGCAGCAGGAGCAGGAGGAGGACTTTGATGCTGTTGTGGAGGCCATAGCAGCAACAGCAGCAGCAGCAGCAGACGTGTTTGCTGCTGCTCTCTCTGCTGCTTGCATTTCTCTTGACTTGCGGCATCTCACAGTCTCTGTACAACAAGAAAAGCATATTGATTTGCTGCGGCTTCAACAGCAGCAGCAGCAACAGCAGCAACAATACCTGCAGCAGAAGCAGGCGCAGCAGTGCTGGGGGCCCAATGCTCTTCTCAATGTCCAGCAGCAGCAGCAGCAGCAGCAGCAGCAGCAGGAGCAGCAGGAGCAGGAGCAGCAGCAGCTACGAGGAGAACAGCAACACGGCCGTTTGCAAGAACAACAACGAGCACAGCAGCAGCAGCAACAGCAACAGCAGCAGCAGCAACAGCAGCAGCAGCAGCAACAGCAGCTTGCTGCTGCAGCAGGAACAGCTTCTACTCCTGGCCCCATCCCCAGCATTTTGTTGGCGGGTCTCCCTGCTGCAGCGCGGATTTGCATTTTAAATGAAAAGAGACAAAAAACAAGAAGAGAAGTAAACACAAAAAGAAAAAAAATAAAGAGAGACTGTCTCTTCTGCCGCTGCGGGGAGGGGCAGACGCCTGCAGCAGCAGCAGCAGCCGCAGCCGCAGCAACTGCAACAACTGCAGCAGCAACTGCAGCAACAGCAGAAGCATCAAGAACACGACCAGCAGCGGGAACAACAACATCAGCAGGTGGAGCAGCAGCAGCAGCAGCAACAACAGCAACTGCAGCAGCAGCAGCAGCAGCGAGAGTAGCAGCATCACCAACTGCTGACGAGCATGCCAGCAGCAGCAGCTGCATCAAGGCTTTATCGTTGCCTCCCAGCAGCACCCACAGCAGCAGCAACAACAACAACAGCAACGGCAGCAGCAAGACCTGCAGCAGCAGCAGCAGCAGCAACACAATCACCAACATCAGCAGCAGCAAGAGCGAGAACAGCACAAGGAGTAGCAGCAAAGGCATCAACACCAGCTTCAGCAGCAGCACCCTCAGCAACAGTACCCTCAGCAGCAGCACCCTCAGCAGCAGCAGCAGCAGCAGCAGCAGCAGCAGCAGCAGAATGGGGTTGTGCGTGTGCAGCTTGCTGCAGATGTGTGTGCTGCCGCTGCTGCATCGCTTAGATGCATTTGCGCTGGGGCATTCATTTAGCTGCTTTGGTTTGCGGAGCTCAGAAGCAGCAGCTTTGTTGCAAGGAGATTTGCTGCTGCTGCAGCAGGTGTGCAGCAGCAAGCTGCTGCGCATGCGGTGTGTGGGGTTGCACTTGCATGCAGCTCCGCAGACACCGCAGCAACGCCGCAGCTTCTCTGGATTTGTTAAAGCTGTTATATCTCTTCCTATTTATCTTAAACCTAAATTAAAGCTGCTAAGAGTCTCTTTGAAGGGGCAATCAGAAGGTAGCTGCTGCATAGGAGAGAAGATTTGCATGCAGCAGCGCGTGCTGCTGCTGCTGCAGCAACTGCTGCAGCAGTATCCCCTGCTGCAGCAAGTCGAAGTCATCGCCCCTACCTTCTTGAGAGACCCAGGAGAAGATGCAGCAGCAGCAGCAGCAGCAGAACCCCGCCTCCTGCAGCAGCTGCAGCAGCTGCTGCAGCAGCACCACTTTGTTCGCGGTGCATGCAGCAGCAGCTGCGCCTTCAGACATGTCTTCTCCTTCTTTAAAGTGCAGCAAAAGAGACAGCAGCAGCAGCAGCAGAGTTGAGGGGTCCTCTGCTGTCTGCTTAGCAGCAAAAGGAGACAATTAAATTGACAAAACTTCTTGCGGCGAGCTGTCTCCTCCTCTGTCTTTCTCTGTCTCTGTCTCCTTCTCTTTCTCTCTCTTTGCTTGTCTCTGACTTTGTCTCTCTCTGTCTCTGTCTCTTTGTCTCTCTGTCTCTGTCTCTCTTTGTCTGTCTCTGTCTGTCTACTTCTGTGTCTCTGTCTCCTCTCTGTCTGTCTCTGTCTCTTCCTTGCTCTGTCTCTGTCTCTTTTTCTGTCTCCTCGCTGTCTCTGTCTCTTTATCTTTTTTGTCTGTCTCCTTTGTTTCTATCTCTTTATCTTTTTGTCTGTCTCCTTTGTCTCTTCTTTTTAATTGCTGCTTTCTGTTTTTTATTTGTTCGCATGTTTAATAGTCTCCGTCGCTGTTGTCTCTTAATGCAGTGTCTGTCTCTTCTCTCTGTCTCTTTTGTTTGCTTGTTTCTTCGTTTGCTTGTTTGTCTCTTCTTTGTCTTTATGTTTAAACTGTCTCTGTCTCTGTCTCTGTCTCTTTTCTTTTGTCTCCTTGCTGCTGCTGTCTCCGCTTTGCTGCTTCCTCATTTGTTGCTGTTTGCTAAAATGCAGCAGCAACTACAAACACAATATATAGACCTTTTGTTGCTGCAGCTGCAGCAGCAGCAGCAGCAGGAGGTAAAGGAGCAGAAGCAACAGCTAATCTCCAGCAGCAGCAGCAGCAGCAGCCTGGTGGCGAGCCTTGCTGCTGCTGCTGCTGCTGTTTCTGTTTGCTGTCTCCTTTTTTATCCTCAACTCTGGGTATTATAAAGACAGCGACTGTCTCTTCTTTGCATGAAGTGTCTCCTTCCTATGTTTATTTTTTATATTTATTTGTTTTTATATTTCTCTCTTCTCTGTATTTGTATATTTATATTTATACAATAATAATATAATTATATAATATTATGTTTATCTGTCTCTATATATCTATGTGCTGTTTGCTTGTTAGTAGAATAATGCTGTATTTTCTTGTATAGAAATAAATAAATAAATAATAAATAATAATAAATAATAAATAGTAATAATAATAAATAATAATAATAATAAATAATAAGAATAATAATACTAATAAAGATATTACTGAAATAATAAAAATTTATTTTGCTGCTGTGGGGTGTAAACCAAAGAAAGACAAAAGGAGACAGAAAGGAGACACCGAGTGCAGACTTTGTTTTATTAAGGTTTTCTGCTTTTGTTGTTAGTTTTTAAAAAGAAATATATAAATAAATAAATATATATATTATATATATTTATATATTTAAAAAGAAGAAGAATAAAGGAAGGAGACAAACACTAACAGAAACAGAGACAGACAAGGAGACAGATATTGACAAAGAAATATATATATATATATACATATATATATACATATATATATATATATAGGAGGGACAGAGACAAAGATAGACGGAAAAATACACAGAAAGAGCAATAAATAAATAGAGAGAAAGGCAGAGACAGCGGAGACAGCAAAAAAGAGACAAAGGAGACAGCAAAGAGGAGACAGTAAAGACAGCAGAGAGGAGACAGCAAAGACAGCAGACAGAAGAAAAGGAGACAGCAAAGAGGAGACAGCACAGAGGAGACAGCAAGGGCGACAGAGAGGAGACAGCAACGGCAACAGAAGACAGCAGAGAGGAGACAGCAGAGACAGCAGAAAGGAGACAACAGAAGACAGCAGAGAGGAGACAGCAAAGACAGCAGAAGACAGCAGAGAGGAGACAGCAAAGACAACAGAGAGGAGACAGCAACGACAACAGAGCGGAGACAGCAGAGAGGAGACAGCAGAGAGGAGACAGGAGAGAGGAGACAGCGGAGACAGTTGAGTGATGGTGCTACCACTCTGCTTTTGTCCAGCCTGTGATGATCATATTATCGATCAATTCTTTGATTTTATGTCTGCATAGACCGAAGTGCCTATACACCCCACGAGGCCTACCATTACTATTGCAGCGTCTCCTATATCGTGTTGCGCAGCTGTCTCTCGGCAGCCTTTGCAGCAGCTGCTGCCAGTGTATATACTCGTCTAATGATTTACTGTCTCCTCTCTTTTGCTTATAATAGTCGCGTAGAGGCTTATAGTCTCCTATCATCTGTCTCCTTTTTGTATTTCGCCGCACACGAGCAGCAGAATTCAAAGAGACAGACAACGGCCAGGGGCTTTCATATACTAACACACAAACAAACACAATAAATAAATAAATATATATAAATATCTTTATATTTATATTTATGCTTATTTATTTATTTATATATATGTATATATTTACAAGTATATAGGTGTATTTACATGGAGACAGAAAGAGACAGAGAAATATATATATATATATATATACATATTGATATATATACTTATATATATATATATACATGATATATTATATATATATACTTATATATATATATATACATGATATATTATATATATATATAAATGTATATAAAGAGACAGAGAAGGAGATGAAGATAAAAGGAGACAGAAAGAGACAGAGAAATAAAAAAATAAAAAAAGAAAGAGGAGACAAACATAAACAAAGCATGAGACAGAAAAATGCAGCAAATAAATAATACTAATAAGCAAATAATATTAGTAAACAAATAATGCTAATAAACAAATAATATAGATAAATAAATAATGTAAATAAATAATAATATACACAGACAGAAAAGGAGACAGATAAACAAATAAAGAGACATCAGAGACAGAAGGAGAAGAAGAGACGCAAACAAATAAACAAAAACAAAGAAGCAAACAATAAAATAAATAAACATAAAAACAAAGAAGCAAACAATAAAATAAATAAACAAAAACAAAGAAATGCAAACAGACAAAACTCACAGCGATAGCGCCGCACAGACACCATGCTCATCCCAGCCAACCCCTGCTGCTGCTGCTGCTGCTGCTGCTGTTGTTGTTGCTGCTGCTGCTGCTGTTGCTGATGTTGTTGCTGCTGCAGCAAACCGCATGCAAATGAGGTTAATGAACCGCTGCTGCAGGCGCTGCTGTTCTGGGTGCTACGGTTTGCTGTTCGTATCCCACTGCAGCAGCAGCAGCCGTTGCTGCTGCTGCTGCTGCTGTTGATGTTGCTGTTGCTGCTGCTGCTGCTGCTGCTGAGATTGAAACTGCGCCGGGCGGTTGGGCTTGCGAACGAGAGCATTCGCTGCTGCTGCTGTTGCTGCTGTTGCTGCTGTTGCTGCTGCTGCTGCAGCAACTGTTGCAGGGGTTTGCATTGTTTGGTGTATAAAGGAGATATATGATAAAGGGAGAGAAACGCCTGCTGCCTCAAGGTAGCTCCAGAGGCCTGCTGCTGCTGCTGCTGCTGCAGCAGCAGCAGCAGCAGCAGCAACAGCAGCAACGGCTGGCGTGACGGCCGTCGATCCATTGGGTGTACAGCCACCCCATAAGGTGTATGTACACCGCAGCAGCAGCAGCAGCAGTTGCTGCTGCTGCTGCTGTTCCTGCTGCTGCTGCTGCTGCTGGTCTTGCTGGTGCCGTTGCTGTTGCTGTTGAAGCTGCTGTTGCTGCAGCGGATGCTGGTTGTGTTGCTGCTGTTGCTGCTGCTGTTACTGCAGCAGCTGCTGCTGCCCGTGCTGTTGTTATTGCTGTTTCTTCTGCTGTTATTGCTGGCGCTGTTGCTGTTGCTGTCGCTGCTGCTGCTGCTGCCTCTGCTGCTGCTGCTGCCGCTGCTGCTGAGAAGAAGGGTAAGACATTTCTTTTGTATGTAAAAAGAGAAGGAGATAAACAGCAAAATAAAAACAATAAAACAGAATAAATAAATAAATAAAATAAATAAATAAGTTAAATAAATAAAATAAATATATAATAAGACGAAGCTGCAGCAGAGGGGCCCCTCGTGTGTCGTCTGCTGTCTCTCTCTGTTTTTTTGCTTCTCTCTCGCATCTGTTATTATTTACATTAATTATTTTTATGTTTACTTCTTTATTATTTTATTATTATGTTGATGTAGAGGAGGCAGAGACAATCAAACAAAAACAAAAAATAAATATATTCAGACAACTCTAACAGCCCTTAGGCTGCCCCGCAGCAGATTCGGCAGCAGCAGCTGCTGCTGCTGCTGCTCTTGCTGCTGCTGCAGCTGCTGCTGCCGCTGCTGCTGCTGCTGCTAGCGCTGTTGCTGCAGCAGCAGAACTTATACGGTCACAGGGCCTTCGTCTGCTGCAGGCCTTCTACTGCAGCAGCAGTTGCTGCTGCAGTAGAAGCTTATGAGGGCAGCAATTACAGCAACAACTGCAGCAGGAACAAAAGCAGCAGCTGCATGAGCAGCAGCAGCAGCAACAGCAGCAGCAGAAAGGCCTCAAGAGTCAAAGGAGGGTCTTCTTGCTGTTGTTTCAGTCGAGTGCAACACAACATAATTAGCTGTGCATACACCACAGACTGCTGCGCAGCACAACTGCAGCAGCAGCAGCAGCTGCTGCTGCTGCTGCAGACTGAGGCCCAGCTTCAACAGCAGACGCAGTGTTACTGCTGCCGAAAGCGCGGGCCACAGCAGCAACAGCAACAATAGCATCAACAGCAGCAACATCATCAGCAGCAGCAACGGCAGAAACAGCAGCAGCAGCAGCAGCAGCAGGCTACTTCCCGCTGCACTCCTTTGCAGCACGTGGGTCCTCGGGGCCCCTCAGTTCGCATGCAGCGCAGGTGTGCGCTGCTGCAGCCTGCAGCACATCTTCTCCGCTTGCTGCTGCTGTTGCTGCTGTTGCTGCTGCAGTGCTGCTGCTGCTGCTGCACTCGGCTGCTGCCCCTTCACCTAGACACCCCTTCTCCTGCGAGGGGATCGTCTGTGGGGCCCCACACCTCCCAATGGAGCTTCATCTCTGCGGTGTCTCCCTTCAGCCTTGCTGCTGCAGCACGCCAGCAGCAGCAGCAGCAGCGGCAGCAGCAGCAAGTTGCAGCAGCAGCTGTGCGGCCACCAGGTGGAGGCCCTGCGGGGCCTCTGCCGATGCGGCGACAGCAGCAGCAGCAGCAGCAGCAGCAGGGGCAGCCCCAACCGTATGAAGGTGTAGATTGCTTATACAGGTATGTGCAGCAGCAGGTGCAGCAGCAGCAGCAGCCCCCGCGTAACGACGGCGTGCTGCAGCAGCTCCTTGCTGCTAGCAGCAAAGAAGAGTATATGAAAGGTCTAAGACTTGTGGCTAGCAGCAGCTATCTCTCTTATCTGCAGCGCCCTGTGCTTCCTATTGATATAAGGCCTTGGTTAAAGCAGCAGCTGCAGCAAGAAGAAGAAAAGCTTGCTGCGCTGCAGCAGCAGCTGCAGCAGCGCCAACAGCTCCTGCAGCAGCAACTTCAATACCTCCTCTTGCAGCAAAGGAGGGACAAGACACGCAGCAGCAGCAGCAGCAGCAGCAGCGTGAGTCTGCTGCAGCAGGAGCTGCAGCAGATAAGAGATCGAAGGGTGGTGTGCATGCAGCAGGCACAGTATCTGCGAGAGAAGATTCATGCTGTTGAAGCCGAGCTGCTGCAGCGGCAGCCTCCGCGTTTGCTGCTGCAGCTGCTGCATTTAGCAGCAGAGAAGGCTCAGCAGCCGCCCTATGCAGGGACGGGCCCTGCTGCTGCAGCACTCGCAGCAGCAGCAGCAGCAAAAGGTCAGACTGCAGGAGCAG